TTTCTAAAACTACCGGATTTTCACGCGATTTTCACCAGAAGTTAGATATTTTTTCATGAATAGCTATTGTTTTGGATACGTATAAAATGCACTATAAAGCACCAGAGGATATCGGTGTTTCGTTATCCAGGCCGGACATATTTTAGGTACATCAAACATAAAATACTAATGGATACCTTACTGTACCGTGGAAAACTAACATTCCAAAAGACCACACAATAAAATTTAATAAATATTACGATTTAACTAACGAACTAACTAAAAACGGCTATCTAGTTAATTTATATACGGTAGAAGTAGGAGCGATATACCAACAAAATCTTTCTATAACCTTCAAAAGACTTTGGTCTGTCGAGAAATGCAGTAAGTTCAATTTTGGTACTACTAACTAAGGCTGCACTAACAGGCTCCTATCAAATTTGACTAGGAAAGGCGGGCAACTCAGTCAATGAAGGTGATCGTTGATGCGCATCTCAAAGGGGGCCTCCTTAAACCTACACCTGGGTCGTAAGTCCCGGGAACTGTTCAGAGTTTCTCTCTCTACCACACGATGGAACCAGCACCCGCACGGTGAATCCATTCCATCCATCAGGTATTGCTAAGAAATTTGTCTCTGCAAACATGCGCGAGAAAAACAATAAAGTAACATAGCGAATTAAAGCGAGGGCGAGCCACTAGTTATGAATAAAATAATTGGCAACAAATCATTAAGCTTTGCTGGCAATAAATGTGTTATTTATTGCTACACGTCATCATTCAGTAGGTAGGTACAAAAGTCGCCTGATGTGATATTTGACATATTGTCGATGGATATAAAATACATTGGTCGCACCTTCAACAGAGAGGCTAACAACGTTTATTAGCTCTCTCTATCAATAAGAGAAATTAAGGAAATGTTCAATTCACACACCCTTTTACTGTTATTTCTAAAGTCACGAAATACAATTTAGCACCAAACGGAAAAGTATCTACCGGAGTAGGTAAACATGCGTACGCGCACAAACGACAACTGAGTTATCTTTTGATGATTCCATAAAAATGTGGTATACTGAAAAGTTTCGTATTTATTCGTTATTTGAAAAGAAATTACAAGAAAAGTATCAGATTTTACACCTTAAAACATGAATTGCAGAATGTAATTAAAATTTCCACAGAAGTATTAAATAAGTACCCACATTATTTTATGTTCTTGTTTATACAATAAAATTTACGAAATGTGAGAGCAATTTTAAAAGTATTACTTATTCAATCGTTAATTTATGTGAATTAAATACAAATGAGCTTTACTTATTTCAAGAATTAACAAAAAAACGGAGTTTCTTAATTCGACTGCATGTTTCATGTTTTTGCATGTAGAAGCTCATTACGAAAATTTTATTCGATATGCAGGTGTTAAACTATAAAATTGTTACTGAATATAATAATGAATATGTATAAAAATCGGAAATTCGTCAAGAAAAGATAATTATAACAATGAAACTATGTCTTACGAAAACGACACGTAACGATAAGGATATGTTTACGGAAACCGTTCACTTAAAATAAGATGGCCTGAGTTGACCTACATAAATGACATTTTATAGTATTCCAGGCAGCAATAAAAGAGACCGATAAATAAAAAGTATATTAATTTACATATATTAAACGTGCAATATGCATGTGCTGATTCTGATTCGTTGAAGTCTTTTGTATGAACTGCAGGAAAGACAAAGGATTTTGGATCAAAATTTTGCAAAAGAAATTCTTGAGGAACTCAAATTAATTTAGCATACATGGTTATAATGGAATGGAATAGTAAGATATTGACTGTATACCGAATTGCTGCTAAAGCTACTTTTGCAATTGACATGCAAAACTTAGACCATATAGTGAGCCGTCGTTGAAGTGCAACTATAAGACGGATAATACTCATATTTATCTAACATGCTATCTTTAATTAATAGTTTTGTTGCACCTTTGATAAACATACTTCCAATTTATGATACCACCCGCCATTTCTACGAGGAACCATGATATTTTGTGAAAACTATGTAGGTATTTAATATAATTTTTAATAACACGATTATTAGGGAGTGTTGAAATACATTTCTTTTCATGCTTCTTTTCTACTAGGCACAGTATTTTCGTGGTAAGAAGCTTTTTCTTAGAAAGGGCATATTATAACATACTTTGAGGTGCGAAGTAGTCAGTCAACAATCGCCTGCGCTGACGGTGATGTGATAGTTACTCACACTTACAAATCATATTGACGCTCGGTCGCGCAGCCGCGGCCGGAAAACGGCTTAATTGAATTGTTTCATTGTTTACGCTACTAATTCTGTACAATTTAGATGTTATTGCCTTTTTATACTAATTCGTCTTAATGAGAACTGCTGTGTGGATACACTTTAATTTAGGAACGTATAGTTTTTACCACGGAAATTATACGTTTAGTAAAAAACATAATCGTCAAATTATGTAAATTGATTTAAATTTCATATTTAAAATTTTCCTCATCCACATGTTATTTGAAGACATTTGATTTGTTAAGCTACGGCGTTTTATGCCTATATGGTATAATTAATTATTAGGATCATTTCCGCATAGCACCTGGGGGTCGTCAGCATATTATATTGAATATTATTTATCATCGACGTTGTAAACAATATCTATAACCGAAGCTTAGCTAATGATTTGCTATCAATTATCTTATCTTACAAGTGACTTGCCCTCGCTTCACTTAGGTGTAGATGATATTTTGTTTTTGAGCATTTTTGTATGCACATTAACAAAATTAACTTATGATATAATATCCAAATCTATTTAGTTATTCAGTAATAATTAATCTCAGCAAAAATGACATCGGTAAATACTAACACGAGAAAAGGAAATGGCTCATTGATCTTGCGCTTAATACTTCAAGGTGTACTCGTAAATAGCAATTAAAACACGTGTCTGCAATACACAGTTTTTCTACATTCTAGTGATTTTTCCTTTTTCGTATAATTACTTACGAATGAATTAACCGCCAATTAATAGGCTGATATTAACAAATGCGTAAAAGTTCTTGTCATTCAAATGAAGTCTAGTTCTCGGAACAAGGGTTTTATTAATACACTCACGAAGAGTATTTTTCTTCGTGAGTGTATAAATAAAACCCTTGTAGTATAGTTTCTATTTACGCGTAGTTATATTATCATACAAAAGTATTACGGTAGCACTTATGAACCAATAAATTAAAAGGAATAATTTCTTTGATTTTATTAACGACAAGGTTGCAATGGTTTCTATATTTATGGATATAAATGCGGTCAGTATATAACAGAGTCAATGACTTTTATTTCCTTGTGTACGAATCTGTGAATATCCTTCCTTAAACAAGTTTTTTTTCCAACTTCGCAATAGGCTAGTTGACTCATGTCAAATTGCACTATACAAATGTTTATTTCTTATAATTTTTGGTATGAGGAACCTAAATACATTGATTTCACTTCATAAAATTAGAAGATGGCTGTAGTAATTTAATTTGAAAAATAGTTTTTAGTCTATGCTTTTTAAACACTAAAAACGCTGTCCACCATGATTGTGACGTCAACATAATAGCAAAACAACTAAACGTCATTGTCATGTTACTGTGGTTTCTTTCGTCCGACTAAAATATATCTAAAAACTCTTATATCTTGAAGAAAAGTTTCCATTTATTGGTTTTCTTAACTAAATTAATGCTGGACGCCGGATTTGTAAAAGCAGAAGCGACAAAACTCTTTGACTTAGCAGGTACATTCATAACCTTAAAAATTGAAACCACAACATTTCTGGTGTTTTTAACGATGTGTTTCTTTATTCTCGTATAATACAATCACGATAATTACTATATTTATCATGAAATCTATTAGAAATCGTGGTTTTGTAATGTAAATTCAGATAGGTTATACCCTACGTGCTTGCGAGTGTTTGTTTACTATTGTTCCCGTTATACCATAGATAATCTATAGACTAAAACGGCCGACAGCGTTTTTGTATGTCCATGAAAGATATTTTTTAAAATTAAAGTTTTGTAGCTGGTGGTCTAATTGAACAATTATTAACCATTTAAAACATATTTCCAAAAAGTGTCAACTAGCCTATTTATTTTCTTTTGCATGATTTAGAAATAAAAAAATATAGGCAGTATGAAACTTAAGAGAGCTTACTTAGAGGAACCGATTTTCTGGCACCAATTCTACACCATAGAATAAAACGAAAATCGATTGTAGTTCGTCGTTATCGGTCGAAGTTGGTCATTCACGACCAGCACAACATCAAAATTCATATCTAATATTCGTTTATATCTTTGAGAATAGTTCCTTAGGACCGGAAACCGGCTTATTTACTTATCACACAATGCTTATAAAAAGTACAAGAGATTCATTTTGGTAAGTAAGTAGCATCGGAGAACTTATTTCTTTAATCTAAGGTGAAATAATTTAGGAATTTTACACTAGGTATGTCAGTCACATTATACCCTAAACTCGTTACATCAACTCAAGGGACAACTCAACACCATATCACATACAAAATTGGCTGCATCCGATGTAGGATCTGCCAAAATAATTTGGAGATCTTCCATCGAATGTTTTCATGTGTAAATGTTGTATCTACGAATAATTATGACTCCGTTTGGTTTTTTTCTCTCTGTATTATAAACAGTATCGTCAAGTTGAAAATTGACTACAATTTGAGATGATTCATGAACTAAACTGTCGATTTTGTTAAAAATAATCGTGTATCAATAGTGTTACAGTAAATTTGCTTTTTCACACAGTAATTATTACTAAAAACAAAAATCAAAAATGTTTTAGCTTAGTCATTTAATTTTGTTATAGTTATCTAAATGCTTTTATTATTTTATATGCCAGTGAAAAGAACTGTGTCAAAAAAAGCTAAACTATTGATTGAGCCACTTTTGAGACACGATTTTTTACATTAGCTTAGCAGGTACGACACCCAGGTTCTTTGTAAATTTTTGTTGTTGTACTCACAGCTTTGCGATTTGTATCTTGTCAGCGTCGTTCTGTCGGCCGAAGTCATGCCACGGCCTGGTGCGCGGGGGCTGTGCAGGCGAGTGGTGTGTGGATGGGGTGCCGCGACCGTCTTCACTCGGTTGCTGGCATATCACCGTGTAGTCGAACGACTGCGCACAAAAATTGTGGCTTACACACACAATAATATCTAATTTATTACTGACATAGTAATAATATAAAATAGTCAAATTATAGTCTTATCTATCATACCTGTATTGTGAGAAAATATCAGTCCACTTCAAACTCAATTTTTGACGTGGTATTCGCCGGTGTGATATGAAACATAATTGAATTGAAATTCTTGATCTACTTTTCAATCACACCGTGGATCCCGTGAAAAGTGAGTTTGTTCTTACAGAATAGCGCTGCTGGTCTAAAATAGCGAGATTGCACGTTTCTTAAATTTCACTTGCAGCAAATTTGCTAAATCTCGATTAAACTAAAACTAGATCATCTTCTTCTTGTATTGCGTGGCTTGTGGTTGTGCTTTCACAATTTCCCCGATAATCTTTATGGTAGGCAATTATTACAATTTCAGATACCCAAATTTATTAACGAATTACCAATATATGTAAAAAACGAAATTAGTGAAATTAATATTAAGAACGTACGTACTAAAAGGATATTTTTGCTCACAGTTATTAAAACAAGAATAACAGTATTGAATATAGTAACATTAAAAGTTTTTCAAAAACATTGCATAATAACCATGTTTCGTAAAAGTCTGATGGGGAACCCGCCCGTGTGAACAAACTCATTGCGTGTGAGGGACGACCACCGACAACTCTTAGACAGAGGGTAGATGCAGATACAAAGCGAACGCACTACGCAAGATTATTATAGAAAATGATCTAAAAGATGACGAATCCCAGTGCTCGGTAAAACCTAAACAGGTTTTTGTAGCACTGTTGAAATGTATTGTTTTTTATTTATAGTAATATGAAATTCAATAAATAATAATAATAATAAAACTAGATGGGATACATAGACAATTGTCAAAACGTCAATGTCAATTCATTAATGTATGGTAAAACTAGTAATAGTTAAATCGAGAGTTAGCAAAAGTGCTGCAAGTGGACCTTAAAATGTTGATATAAAATTAATGTATCTGAAAATCTTAAATTATCTTCTTTGATAGATTTGACAAGACCTTAAAAAAAATACAAAATTCGATATTTTAGTCCACATGAAAAACAAAGGGAATTGAATCTCCTATACTTTTCGATGGATATTTACGAAATCAAGTAGATGGCAATACAATTTTATTTGGTAGGAAACAAAATAATCATCCCTCTACACAGCGTGGCAAAAGTTAAACTTGATTTATAGACAATTATTGCTGTGTTTATGTTTTCTTTAGCAAACAAAGGTGACATTGTGAAATTTATTCCGGGATTGACTTAAGTCACGATTTATAATAAGGGGAACTGTATTTGAGTTGATAAATAACATATATCGATCATAACAACAAAAATATTACAATTCTTTGCATTTTTGTGAATAAATATTCTGTATATTTGTTAATAGTTATTATTTTATATTAGTTTAATAGAAAATAAATATGGTAGTCCCACAATTATAAGTTTATACGGTAAAAAAGACTAACAAATATGTATTGCCGAATGTTTTTATGAGGAAAGATTTTATAAAATTTAAATGAAAATAGAAACTCAAACATGTCTAACTTCTTGTGTAATTTGTGATAATCATAGATATGTGATAATTTAATATATCAGTACTTGAATAATAATAAAAGATACTTATTACTAAAAAAACAAAGCTAGCTAGCTAGCGATCTTTAGTAAAAATTACGTTGCGAGAATTAATGCTGGCTGCCTCTTTCTCTGCGATAACGATAGAAAAGAATATTACGTCATTTTGACAAGCATTAGATTTAATTGACTTTCCTAAGAACAACTTGTAAAGTATTTCATTTTAATGAATGTTCGAATTAACAAATCTGAAAATATCAGTAATAGATTTTTTGCATCACTAATCGTCCAATGAGTTTTATTTAAATTATAATGTAATGCAAAAATCATTAAACTAGGAAATGTTTACGTACTCGGTATGAATCTTATTATTCTTGGCTTTGTAATGCATACAGTACACAGAGTTGTAATAAATACATACACTTTGAGGGTAGATTATAATTAACAATTTTCAATGTTTTTTCAATGGTAGCAGAAACTGTTAGTAGTATTCACAACTGTATAATAAAAACTTGGGACTTCATGAGATGTTTGATTACTTACAGGCTTTAATTTAGTAATCAAAGATTATAGGATGGAAATGAGAACTATGAAGATAAAAATTTTCTTCCGCCCAGATAGCGGGAGATGCTGTTTCAAATCCCGTCTGGTAACTTGACTGAGTGGTTTTTTTGTAGATTATCTTGTAGTAAAATGCTTCAAAATCAAAATATGTATAATAATCAATAATCCTCTTTTTTGGTAACGGATAACTTGATGTAACGGATAAATGTTTTGTAATCATAGAAAAAAATTATGGAATTCCGTAAGCAATATTAAATACAGAACATGCATTGTCTTATCTTATGGATTACAACTTCATTATGACTCTAATAAAAGAAGAAATTATATGATCTAAGACGTAAATGTATTGCCAAGCAACCAATAGTTTTATTGTTATTTGACAATATTGTGGCACGTAGCATGTTTTTGCAACCTCTGTTCACCATTATAATGCTAAGATTCGCATAGCAGTCTTTGTATTCTAAAATTCAGTTATTAATGTTAACATACTACTACTATTAATGTTAGCGTCACAATGATGAAAATGTTGAAATCTCCAAAAAGTGCACATAGCAAATATTGATTTGACTACGACAGTTTTAAGGATTTTATTTTGTTATAGCTTTTTACGTTTTCAATTCTAATAAGACGATACTTTTTTAAAAGATTAAAGGATTCAAGAATTAAAGAGTATCTCAGATATTACAATATTATTTTAACTTTTTTAGTCACAAGAGTAAGACAACAAGTTCTGAGTGTGTTCTGAGGTTTTCCTTGAAAGTAGAAAACTTTTATGTTACTTTATATTAATAAGATTAATATAGATAATTCTCTCAAACTGATTTTGCTTCCATACTCGTTTTTTTACTTTAGAAATGGCTAGGTATGCTGAGCTACGTGTTCTTCAATTAGGGAACTTTTCAATAATGTATATGAAATTGTTGGACACTTGTACACATAATTAGTGATTCCTAAAATATATCCCCTCCCTTATTTATGTATGTCAGTATATATGTATGTATTACCTAATACCCTTTTAAAAATAGTTTTAGAATATATTGTTGACTATATTGAAAATCGTAACTTAATTAAGTAGAGCAATTACTTATTATTTATTTATGTTTATTCATAATGAAATAGCAAAACACTTACATATTATAAACAATGTGAAATATCACGGTTTATAACCCCAGTCTAAGTAAGGAGTGTTCATTTCTCACGCAACAATTTGCAAACAATATAACAACATTATCTCCACCTATATCCACCTAGATTTTATAACATAAAAATACTACTATTTTCATGTTTAATCAAGGCTATTATGAAAGGGACTTGTATCTTGAATAGTGTGACGCATTTTCCATTATTCTGCTTAATTGTCATTTAACATTAGTTTAAATTATTAAATACAAATAATTGCATAGTTGCCAAATAAGTTTAATTAGTGTTTATAATGAAGTCAATGACGTTTAATTGTAAATGGTAATGTATTACACAATTTTATGAGTTTTTGCTACAAATAAAAACTATTTTATAATCAAAAAAATTAACTGATATTTTTAATGTAGCAACTAAAACATATCTAGCAAATCAATTAGATGAATTATAGTGTCAGATCAGTAGGTATGTAACATAATTTTAATAAATGCCATTATTAATTCTAAGTGTGGTGAGTAGAACGTGATTGCCACACCTTCTCATTACAAAGTCCTTCTGAACCACTTAGTTTCAATCCGAGTATAATCACGACAATTTATTATTTTAATGTGTAAACACATAAATCCAAACTCAAATACAAGTTTGTGACTATATTTGTACGAAGGCCTCGCGTGGCATCAAACCCATTGTCTGTGCATCAATGAAGCTGCAATTAATGTGACTAGATAATTACTATGCTTATTCTTCTACCTACTCATAAATGATACTATAAGACCGTTAAATTCTGATCAGGATTAATAGAAGATTGTCACTATGATATGCGGTATGTAAGTCTTATATCTAATCATAATAGTATAATTGTGTACATGACATTGTTTTGAGCTGAGCGCGGGTGGGCTTCAGTGGTAATGCAAATTATATGCTTGTTTATTGAAGTGCAGTCTCTTTAAAATAATGAGCTTGTAAGTGGTATTCATGTATGAAGATGTAATGAATAATTGTGTTAAACAATGCTTAAAGTAATTAATTTTATCAAATATATATATAAAATAAAAAATAATGTCATTCGCCACAGAAGCATATAGTGGTGTCGTGTATAGTGTTATGTGAGTGTGGATGTGAGAAGCCGCCCGCCCGCGCCCATGTCCCATGTCTGAGGCACCGACCTGCTGCACGGCGGTGTGGTCGCGCGGGGTGACCGCGTCCGCGCCGATGCCGCTGTCCGGCGACGGCAGGTCCACCGTCAGCCCAGCGGCTGCGATCACGCTCTTGCCGTGATAGCGAGGTGCAGCATACCGCTCGCCGAACGCTGACGCCGGAACTGACTCCGCATCGGCGTACGGCGGTGCCGCCCTCTGCTGGTATCCGTCACTGACGAAGTATTCTCTGTAGTAAGCCTCCCCGGCGAAAGAAGCCGGTTGGCGTGGATACTGCTCCCCATAGGGTGTCGGACTGGGAGTACCCGGCGGTGCGAACATCTGCGCCGCGTACATTGCGGCGTCGGGCAACAGGGAACCGGCGGAGGAGGCGCGGGACGGCACCGGAGACGGCGATGCCGCTTCGCCGGGCTCACCGACCGCCACCTGCGGACACACGCGCCTGTTACACGCGTTCTCCCACGACAACTGTCCGCTCCTCAACGTCGACGCGTACATGCCGCGTCGATCACAGTTCACAGCACGTACACTAGTTCGTCCTACGTTATCACGTTCACGTCAACAAGGGATACACTCGGTGTTGTATTGCGCAAACAGTCCTGAGGACTCGCCTGGGCGGGTGGCGCTGGCCAGCCGTTGAGGGGCGCGGGCGGGCACGGCTAGTGCGTCGCGAGCGCAGTGCTCGGCGCATCGTACATTAACCGCGATAAATAATACATGAGTGACCGGTAAGGAAAGTGTGTGAGTGCGTGCGCGCGCGACGGCGGCGTGCGAACGTGTGACGCACCTTGTGTCGCGGCGGCTTGAGCGCGTGCGGCTCGGGCTCGTCGACCACCTTGCGGCTGAGGTCCTCGGGCTCGCGCTTCACGAGCCCCGCGTGCAGCAGCCCCGACAGCTCGCTGAGCTCCGCCCCATGCGCGCCATTGGCCGCCTTCAGCGCACCGCCGCCGGCCCTGCGGAGGGGAGATAGCGGTGATTGGCGACATTGCGCGCGCGCACCTATTTCTACGCCCGATGTTGACGAGCGCGCGCAAAAGTCGTCTCACTATCGTTCTTGTTCTACCTGCCATACTCCACATACATATAAAAATATTTAGATTTTTCTAAAACACTATCACCTATCCCTCAAGCATAATGTTGAGATTTCATGATAATAAGGTACCTGCAATATTCACCTTACTTTTTCAGTTTTTAAAAAGATGACCATTATTAATATATTGCATGTACCTACCTATAAGTTACAGTAAAAGTGCAACTTAAAGTTTAATAAAGTTTTATAGAAACGTATTTTATTAGTTTGGATTTTTTCTAAAATTATATTCAAAATCATGTAAAAACATTTTATTTTCTATTAATGGGTTTTTGTATTTTTCTTTTTATTTTTTCCCTAATTTTTATGTTTCATGGACGAATGTTGTAATTTCCTAAGGATTGAATTAGGCAATTTATAGGTATTATGGAAAAAATTGGTCATACTATTTAGATATAAAAAAGTAGTCTACTATTATTTTCAGCACAAAAATTTTGAAAATCTGTTTTGTTTGTATTTTAAAAGTAATGATTAATTTAATCAATTATACCTATTTATCTTCACCAAAAAACCAGGAACACTATTAAGATGTCAAAATTCAAATGTAAAAGTCAAATGTACCCACAGCAGCTACAGCTCAAGTAATCTAAAACTATTAAAATGCTCCAAGTGACTTTAAGCCTTATGGTGTTGGATACAAGATTCACAAACTATTGACTAAAGTCGACAGTTCATGATAGCAACTTAATGATGTATGGCTGTCTGTACTTGGGATTATGTTACTTTTTTACTTACTTATTCTCTTTTAAAATTCCTATGCATTGGTCTTGATCTTGGATTTTTACTAAATAAATATTACATTGTAAAAACTTATGTCAATTACTTATAAGTTTTCCTACTTAACATTAGGCTTAGCTCATTAATAACAATTTTAAAGTTAAACTTTCATTACCCCGCTACATTTTTTTTCGTTCATCAATTTAAAAATGTAATGCTACATGCAATGTCGTTAAATTTTCAAATTATTATAAAAAAAAAAAGCATCTTAGTTCAGTGGTAGAAAATTCGCCTGCTACGCGGTCTATCCGGGGAAGAACGTATTTTTTATTAATGATTTTAAAAGTTTCACTTGCATCGTGGTTTCTTAACCACACCATTTTTTTATATTCCTTTGTATAACTTTCAAAATTACTAAGTTTACTCCTGGAAGTCATTACATGTCAAGCTTATGACTCCACTACAATAATATGATTAATCTCTGCCAGATGTTGGTAATCAGTGGTTACAATAGTGCATTTTTTTTAAATTTTCATCATCATTGCATTGCATGCATCATTTTCATTGCAGCTATAAAAACCGCAGTAAAACACAACAGTTATAGAGAAAGTATCGATTTTTTTATATCAATTTACAATTTAGTAACATCTACATATTACAGGTGTTACACTCGATAATTTACCAGACATGCGAGTTTAATCAAATAATCACATAAAAATTCAAATTAAATGTTTGGATAAACCAACATCTATTAGTTTTACTCTCATTTCTCGATAACCGTTGCTTTTATGAAAAAATACCATGGACTTTTGGTAGGTAGGTACCTACTTATGTAGAGCAAACATAACCAATATTTTGCAGCGAATGAGTAATAATTATGAAATTGCAGCCACAAACCCCTTATTAATAAACGAAAATGAAGCTTGGGCTAGTTACAGTGTCTTTTTTCCAATATACATATTTCAAAAGGGGGGCATAAAATGTATGATGGTGATTTGATAAAGAACTCATGAACCAACTACTTACACGTGTCACAGGGGCAAAATTTTCATAGCATGTACCTGTGGCACAAGTGGTTGTGCAATTTAGTTGGTCCATGCGCACTACGGGAATGCTTACAATATTATACGTCCCTCCCCCCCCCACCCTCTAAAAACTAAACTAAAGGCTGGAAAAACCTAGAAAAATTCATGATAATATTGCTTTTCATGAACTTTTAAGAAAATCTATAACGGTTACGGTGAATTTGATAGTTTAAGAGTAATAGTCGTTCAACTTTGGTTAAATAAAATTTCTTACTTATTGAAAATTCCTTAGAAGAAAAGAATAATAGTGACAGAGATGAAGTTATTGTAGTGTAAAACCTTGCATTGCAACAAAATAAAAAAAACTAATTTAAAAACCAGGCAACGGCTTCTGAGTCGCGCTAACGTTACATTTTTTATAAAAAGTATATAACCACTTGAAAAGATCAGCGGTTATGCCAATTCTCGGCTTGTGATCCTTTTAAGATCTCGCCGTCCCCAAACCCGGTGACGCTGTAAAGGCCATCTGCGACCAACAGTATACACACTAAAAACAAAGGCGGTTATGCAATCGTAGGTCTCTCCGATTCCGTCAGCCTAGGCACGTCTTAGAGTATCCCAACGACGAAATCACCCGTGCCAACGCGCATAAACCCCTCCCACACAGGTCGCAAACACCATATAACACTGATAGCAAACTTGCACAGTAGCTTAGCATTAGGCAGGCACCGCGCCCGTAGGATAAGAATACGAAGACCCGGTCTCCACACGACACGCTAAACCAGGTACAGGTACTTACCTGAGCGTGTTTCCCCGCCCCCCACGAGCACTAAATAGAGCCGAGGTCCGAGTCTCAGATACGCCCTCTAGTTGAGCCGACCCCCTCAGGTTCGAGTGGTCTAGAGGCTCCAGGCGGAGACGAGACTCCCCCCGTGGGGAGATACCATCCGCCTGGAATACCTCTGGAGGCACTCGCCAATTCTCGGCTTGAGGTCCCATTAGGATCTCGCCGTCCCCAAACCCGGTCACGCTGTAAAGGTCATCTGCGACCAACAGCATACACACTCACAAAAAAGAAAGCGGTTATGAAGGGTATCCATGAGGAAACAAAAAAAAATCGTTTTAAAAAAAACTTTTACGATCTGCACATTACCACTCTACAATAGCAATTTCTACTGCAGCAGCATATGAACAACAGCTATTACAGGTACAACTTTACAAAAAATATTTTCAGAAACAACAACATTAAAAAAACTGGGTATCCTGAAATTGAAAATTTGATTTGGAAATCATTACGCTTCTTTGGAGGTGAGCTCAGAAAGTAAGTCCGAATGTACCTGCTTTCTTAACTTCGTGTTAAAATTCGGCATTTAACTCTAAAAGTAAGATTTTTTAATACGTCAGTAACGACACTGAATTAATACAACCGTTTGGTGTTGGTTTTTTCGATGACTAAGCTTTCCAGGGCTCCATAGTGTCCTTTATTCAGTGACTCGGAAGCGGTTACTCGGGTACCACTCCCAGCCGTGGGTATCTACGTCGTAGAAGTTTTAGTAGGTAGGGCTCTGGGGACTCATCGAACAAAGTTCCGTTAGATGTATTCTTCAGGCGGCGGAGTATGCGTCAGGTATTTTCAACGCGGTTGAAAAAAAGGGTAAGCAATAAAGCAGGTCAGGGTAGGTATACGCGGAAGTGACTCTCAAGTATCGCAAGCGAGCGATCATGCGAGCTGTAATGCTAAATAGCCTACCCCTTCCTTCACCTTTAAATAAAACGATAAGAATTTTCCCACACCGCCTCTTTACCTAGTATGGTAAGCATTGCAGACTTTTACTTACTATAGCAGAAAAAGTACTTTAGAGGCAGACAAGGTGAATGAATCTGGATAGCTATCCTCACACTGAGATTACATTGACACCTAATATCTGGTGGTATGTAATCACTTACAATAAGGACATATATATAAGAAAAAATATTATATTATTAGTAAAATATTTCAACTTAGTCAAGGCTGTCGATTCTGCTAAGTTAAAGTAATAAGCGTGTAACACATTTTTTGAATCAATAAAGCCAATTTTCAGTAACAATTATTCTGTAATCTTCAAAGTTTGAACTCTTCATACGTTTAATGAATCTTATAAATCATGACAAAACTTTATCATCTAAAAAGTCGTTTTGTACTTTTATGTACATTCATTAATATTTATTTAATTTACCTAAACTTGATGTCATATTTATAGTAACACGCCCTGTTTCGTTAATTCTAACGCAAATATCGTTTTATTTTCTAATTCATATTTAGTCCCGTCAGATTTAATTACACACTAATTAGTGTTCGCATTACTAATAAGTTTTCATATAGGTTGCTTTTTAAAAAAACACCTTATAAATAAATGTACCTAATACTTTGCATGTAGCTTGTTGCAAGTAGTTAATTGTCTAACTAAAGGCGTTTTACGTGTTAAGGTGGGCACATGCGGGCTGTGTGATTTGTTTGCATGTGAATGCAGCCACCTCCGCAAGTGGCGCGGGGCGCGGTTTCGTCGGCCGGTGTCAGTGCTCGCCGATTTATGATAATTGAAGACATGTTTCATTGGCGTTCAGATGTTTATTTTAGATAAGCAAGTCCCGCAGCACTATTTCATGCGACCGAATTGGCCGGACGCGCGACCTCCCGCACAAGACGCTCGTTCCACTCCGTGTCCGATTGCAATTCGCGCTCTGCTCATTCCTCACAATTTATGTGTTGCTTTAACATAATATTTAGTAGGAACAAAATTGTTAAAAGATAAGAAAGGCCAGATTCGATCTGCGATGGATGCTTTGAAGTCATTTGAATGGTATTGCTGACAGTCTGCAATATTCACAACACATGGACTATAAAAAGGGTTCAGATCAATCACTTTTTGTAAACATGCAAATTGTGTCAGTTAATCTGGGCCTTAGCCGGCGGCGATACCTACTCAGCATCGTTATTCATGTTCGCGCGCACAATGCTGTGTTTGCTTGTTGCTCATTGTTGGCGCCTGCAAAAAGGCATGCAAAGCGCCCGCTCTGACAGCTGAATCTGCACCCTCATAGCCACCTCGATTGCTCAACGTTCTTTTTCCAAACATTTTAT